TGTGATTAGTTAGGGCCATTTGTTAGGGTCATTATTTCTCTCTCAAATTTTACAGATTACCTGCTATTTTAAACTGTTCTCAATCTTCTTGATTGCTTACCGAACCATTTGCAATTCATCAGCTTCCCACTAAACTCGAGCGTCATTCATGCCTGCCCAAGTCGCAATTGATTGCGAGCGAATTGTGTGCAAAACAAGAATAATATATACGTTATAAATATTAACACGAATGCCTCATTTCTAGCTAACTAGAAGTGGATTTATTAGTGTAATTCGCGCAAGTTTAGATTTCTTTTAAACTTTAGAAACAATAATTTAGATTAATGATTGTTTTGTATTTCTGTCAGTGCGCCTATGGGAACAGGAAAAAAATGGAATAGTTGGAATAATCAAAGCTGATTTGTTTTTCGCGCGAAAGTAGTTTTAAAATCTACCTTCTTTCGAAAGTAACAGCGTATAAAATAACAAGTTCTCATCTTACCTCGAAACTGGCATTTCTCGCCATGAAATGCGTCCTTGCAAACGCATTTGAGACTTTCGCGTGTGAACATACGCCCTGGCCGCACTGGACAAGGGATTGCAGCATCGCAGCTGCAAGAAAAAACACAGATACCAAGAAATATCGCCAAGTGAAGAGGCGGAGTAATATCCGCACACCTCCATATCGCTTGATAGCTCAATTAACTTTGATGTAATTAGTGTCGTCATAATTTCATGCAGACTGCGTCACAGATTACGCGAGCCTGCATTCAGTGTTGGCCAAGTAGGCAAGTACTAATAATACTTCATGTTAAATCAATGGTTGGAAAATATGGGTGAGGGGTTGCTGTATACATGTATTTCTAGTAATCTCAGTTCGTGACTCTCTAGGCTTAGGAGCCCGGAACTGGCCCGAAAAAGGCAAATCAGTGGAATCCAATCCTGATCATGATAAGGAGACAACCACCTCCGTTAATTTTTCGTGTGGGCGAACTAAATATGCACTTTAATTTACTTTCTGTTCGAAATTACCGGAAGCAATGATAATCCTCTATTTTTTCTACCTTCAAAACTACTGCTTGCTCCAAACAGAACTACTTTAATTAATAATTCCGTTTTTACACTCATCTAAATTTGTGCTTTTGAGCGACATCAAAGTCTATATTTCTCTTTCAACACAGTCTTATTGTTACTAAAAATCTAAAACCTGAGTTATAAAACATTAAAATCCTACTATTTTCAAATAAAAATTAGATTTTTAGTAACAATAAGACTGTGTTGAAAGAGAGATATAGACATTGATATCTTCCAAAAGCACAAACTTAATTAAAAGAGACTTATAAACTTATATATTTATTCGCGAAACCCTTGTGGCCCTGTAATTCCTGTAAGATAAACGATAGACGATAAGCAAGATAAACTTTTGTAAACTCAATAACTCATCCAGTTTCATCCAGGGCCGCCCAGAGGTTGGCGGGGGCCCGTGGCAAATTTTTTTTTAGGGGCCCCTATCTAACAACCTCCCCCCCTCCGGATAACAACCTCCCCCCCCCGTCGCCAAAAAATTTTCGGTCAGTGTACCATTTTAGGGGTAAAAAATTTTTTCCGGAGTACAAAATTTTGCCGGACGAGTACGTTGCAAATGCTTTCCCTGGTTTCATCCATTATTCAATGATCGATTTGTGTTTAGCGGATCTTATTAAATTAGCAAAAATGTGTTATATTACCCAGGATTATTTCAGTCTTGATAAAATCTTAAGGGGGCTAAGCCTCCCAAATTGAAAGGATATTTTATCATGGGGAATGGGGGTCACCCTCTTCCCGAAGCTAAATTTCATTGCATGTGGAAACACATGAACAATTTTGGGAAATTCATTTTGCCTGGTTACAAAGTATTCTTCTCAGGAAGCAACAAATTAGTCAAATTTTATATCAAAATAATACAGAAAAACGATAGGTTTTACATGGTATTTTTCCAATAAGTGAAAGGAAACACTGGACAAGAGATGGCAAATATTGCTATTTCAAGAATAAAGCGAGAATTCCAAGAAGTAGTCAGAAGTGAAGAGGTATATTTTTATATAATATTTGCCTGTTTATAAACTGGTGCAGTCGTGCAGATATTTATATTACTCATTTACTGGTTTTAAGTTTGCTTGTTTGCCAATCTAAGCTGTTGCATCAGCCTACGGTCGTTGACTAAGGCACTTTTTTAAAGCATGTTTATTTTCTCGTAAATATACATTTTCATATGAAATTGAATAATATATGAAAATTTCAAATACATGTATATAAAGTTTTGAAACCTTTTTACGTTTGTCGTGTATGATTTAATTCGTATTCTGGCGTATGTAATCAAATTAGCACGCGTAAAATGATTGCAATTCGACAAAAACTGAATGCAGTGGTACAGAATAGAGACACACAGAAGTCTGACTTCTTGGTTTCACCCATGATTTTGGCGTAACCTTGCCATGATATTCAGAGTCACGTTTTAGGGGGAGTTTACTATTTTTAGACTTTAGGGAATAGGATTAGGTTTAGGGTTAGGATTAGAGTTAGGTTTAGGGTTAGGATTGGGGTTAAAGTGGAAGTCAAGTCCGTTCTGGGCATCGGTTCTGCTCATAACAATGTGAGGACCTCTAATGTGAACATTCGGCCCAAATTTCGAATGTTTCAAATTTTTCTGAACATAAACTCTATTTCATATTGATTCAGAAGCATAGCGAACAAAAATGGTGTTAGATATTCAGACAGTACATCATATTTTAAGAAATACAGCAGTTCAAAATGTAAACAAACCGTTTGTTTACATCACACACTTGACTTCCACTTTAAGTTTAAAATACAAAAGAATACAAAATTACAAAAGTTTAAAAATACTACCAACTCCCCCTAAAACGTGACGGGTATAACCATTGTATTGCTGTTGCCATGTTCCTAACCAGTGTGCTTACATTCATAGATATAGGAGATCTAGATTGCTAACGCATACCTAGCGCAGGCGGGCCTACATGATAAATCCAAGATGGCGGTACAACAGGGCAAAAAGACTATAGATTCTATTACGAAAATCAGGATTTTTGCATTTTTTGCCGTCGCATTGTTTTGAAACTTATTCGGTTAAATTTTATGGTAAAGAGAAACTTACCGCGAAGATTTTGAGCATATATATGATTGAATTGGATAAAAAATCGCAAAATTATCCAGCGATAAAAGTTCGTGTGAATGGTCAGTTGGTCAGTTGGAGCGTTTTATTGCCAGAAATACTGTGCTGTGTTAACATCTAGCCTTGTGAATGGTGTTTTATACTTGCATCTCTCATCATCATCTGCTCTGTCCTCATAATTATGAAAAATGAACTGTTATGTACCCCCCCCCCCTTGCTTGTTAGAGAAGTAAACTGATGAGAGCACTGGATGAGGGTCTATCATCTATGGTCTGTTATAATTTGCTTTTTATGCAAATAGTGAGCAAAAATTAAAGCAAAACTGTACAAGTTACATATATAGTACTATATCAGTACTATACACGAACTTTTATCGCTGGATAATTTTGCGAGTTTTCATCCAATTCAATCATATATATACTCAAAATCTTCGCGGTAAGTTTCTCTTTACCATAAAATTTGACCGAATAAGTTTCGAAACAATGCGACGGCAAAAAATGCAAAAATCCTGATTTTCGTAATAGAATTTATAGTCTTTTTGCCCTGTTGTACCGCCATCTTGGATTTATCATGTAGGCCCCGCCTGCGCTAGGTATACATTTGCAATCTAGATCTCCTATATCTATGCATTCAACCCCTCCACCATTACCAAGCACCTTACGCCCCTGGTGAGCATAAACATATATGTGGAGCAGATACTTTCATGGAGGGAACCAGTCTAGAAAGTTGCTCAAATTTTCAGGCAATGTAATGATGCTCGATTGCTCCTAATTAATATGATTATATAATGGTTCATCATAATTAGTATTTTTTTGTAGTCGTATTTTAAGCTATTCAAAATACTCGTTGTCGTGTTTTATCAGACAAAAAACGCTCGGCTGCCCCTCGCGTTTTATATCTGATAAAACACTCCTACTCGTGTTTTAAATCTTGAGTACTTATTCGACAAAACCAGGAACAGCAGCGAAACATGCAACTATAGGTGCCTTACAGAGACCGAACGACCTGCAGCCCTGCGATTCCGATCAGCGTTCTAATCAACTGCATGAGCCTATAGCTATAAATTTATACTCGGTAATTTCCATCTACAAGACCATTCAACTATTATCCAATCAAGTGAGATGCCAACAAAATCTTGATATATACCCATAAGTATATTAACCTAACATGGCAGTTCCCTAGTATATGAACATGAACTTGTGGTTAGAGCTCGATAACTGGACTGTGTAGCTCAGTTGGTTAGAGCGCTGCACTGAACTGCATTTTTCGTAGGCATCATTCCCTGTTAGCATCTCTAATAAATGTATATAAATTTTCAATCGATAATTTATATTTAAAAGACCCTTCAAACTGTTATTCAGTCAAATGAGATGCCAACAAAATCTTGAGATTTAATTTAACATCTAATGTTCATTTAACTAAAGCCATGCTGATGGCCATACACAGCATGTTGACAATGCATGCATGAGTCCGGCGACCACCACATGTAAAGTATTGTATGAAAGAATGGGTGTAATTATGTATTTTAACGGCTGTAACCAATTAAACTTTGTCTGGTCATAATTTTCTCCCACGCAATCCTAATGTTTACAGATACGAATATACACTGTATATTACGGCAAACATGCATAAATAATTAAAATAAACTTAATTGAAATTATAAAATCCGCAATGCCAACTGAGATACTTGTTCCTGAAATAATTCAAAATTCCGGACACATACAATATTTTATATATACACACGAATTATTGAATACTAATGAAAGGCATCTATTGTGTATGGGGCTTTGGTGGTGCAGTCATCAGAACAAGCGCCTTTCACCTATGAGATCGTGGGTTCGATTC